TAGAGAATTTATATATGTATGTGCGCGTGACCGGCCGGTGTGATTTTACTTGTAATTAATTGTGTTAAGCTTCACAATCTTCACTTCTGAAATTTTGATCAGCTTCATAAATAAATTTGCATTTATGTCCTCACAATCAACAATCAACAATCAACAATCAAGATAGATCTTTTATTTAAAGAAAGGAGATATATAGGAAATTGGCTGTTTGGTTAATCATTGTCCGATGACCCGTGATTTGCTTTGTCCAGTTACTCATCCTTTAGATGTGTCGATAAGTAGTCGCAGAATTAATGTTTACTTTGTAGATATTTGCTTCACATGTCTTTCTTGTGGATAATATTCATGTAATTAACTAATCCGAAAAGAATATGTGTTTGTAACTCAGTTGAATAAGAGCAATCTCTTTCGCACCTGCGATCTCGAGTTCGAGTCCCCCCTCCCGAATATGGTTAATTTGTATCCAAAAGCAAAACTGAAAGAAACCAGGAAAAGAAAAACCATTAAAAAGCCTACATGCAAGGCTTATATGAGGAAGACCGAGCATAGTTATGGAAGGTAACGTTTAGACACATAGCTCTCATATGTTTTGTTTAGTACAGACATCATGAGGAGGCTCCCGTCATTAATTTGCATCTGCTGGATTTGGCTATATATTTGCGTCCATGCAGATAATAAGTATGCAGTAACGAATCTCCAGGTCTGCTTGCAATAGTTGGGATGTGTATGCATGTAGAATTGTTTCTTAGATATATATATATATATATTTTTTTTTTATGTATGCATTTAGTTTAGAATTTCTTTTTAAGGACATTTTGTTTGGGGTCGTAGCTAGCTAGCTAGTGTTCTCGCATATATGGTAAGTGTTCCATAAGGAGGCGACTTGGATAGCTTTATTATGTATTTAGGAACAGTATTTTCTGTTTGGGGGATACCATTACCAATTACCAAATTAAGCTTTTTATACCTAAAATTTTTAAGTTTGCTTGCGTTGATAATATAATTGGTTTAAGTACGCTTGCTGGCGCTAAGCCGCAAGTATATTGACCCTTTGTTACCGTAAGTGGTTGGGAGAATACTTTATTTTCTAGATGTTGTTAATGTACCTCCTCTTGGAATTTTATTGGCTCTTTGTGGTTAGAATATGAACTCTTGACAATAAAATTATGTACTAGTTCACATTCTAGGTATGACAACTTTACCTTACTAGATGGATTGCTAAATATAGCACTCTGCTTATCCCATCAAAATTCTCTTAGAGCTTTGGACTTAATTGAACTATGGAGACGAACATATTTTTTTTTTTCTCAACCCAACTTTTATACATGCTAGCGACATGACTTCCGCCCATGGATGTATTTATCCTTCTTTGATTTGAATTATCAAAACGGCAAAGATATACATTAACTAGCCAACTACACGAACATTGAGAAGGTATGTTGATATGTACTTATTATATCAACTATGGCAATCTCGTGTGATCACTTAATTAATGTGGTCTAAAACTAGAGTCCCCTACATTCATACTCTTAAATTAATGAAGTGCAGAACAAAATAATCAGCTAGGAAAGAAAATAAAAAAAGCAACCCCTTCTGTTTACTCCAAACAGTAAGGACCTCATCGTTTGATAGTGGTATGCCATTTTTTTTAATTAATGACAAATCTGCTTCGGGATCTTTAGTTGTGTTGGTACATTGTGGTAGCCGTATAGCGGTTTAAAATTATTTATGAGTGTGCAAATTATCTGCAGACCAAAAATTGGTCACTGAAGCAAATCTGGCACCTATTGTATTGGCCCTAGTAATGAAACACTCTAAATCGCTTTTGTTATAAGAAAAAGAATCTTTGATCAACATAGATTTTATGCTGGTTTACTATGAGGATAGCTATACTATTAGTCCACCTTCATAATTGAAGGATGAGAGAGTTGGAGATCCTAGTGAGTTTTGATACAATCTATATACAATAGTAGGGATGAGATTTACAAGGTAAAAACCATCCGCATTGATTGTATAAGGTATACATTATGGTTGCAATGAAATCTATACAACAGTAGGGTTGCCTGCAACACGCCTGTAGCTCCGACCTTCTGTTTGTATATTATATACGTGAAGGCATTATAACAAAAAAAGTTGTTTAGTGAGAAGAAAGATCGTCTCTGCAAATTCTCACTTCATCGATCGTCTTTGCGGGTCTTTTTAACTATTCAGCTATTTGGAAAGATCGAAACAATTTATTTTTAGGGCCGTTCAATCTCTATCCATTGTCTTTGCATGTCTATCATTTCTGGGCTTGTTCACGGCAAAAGGTTTGTTCCTGGATACTATTAAGGTTTAGATACTCATATCATTTCTTCTATAGGGTTGGGTTTATTCCTCAGACTACTAGTATTTCCGTGTTATGGCCTACACCTTGGTATCTTGGATTAAACTTAGTACAGATGGTTTGGCTAAAGCAAATCCTGGTCCTACTACTTGCGAGGGCATTTTTAGGGAATGTTGTAGTCAGTTTCTTGGTGGTTTCTATCAAGGTATTGGCCATCACAATTCTTCTTTGTTACACAATTATTATTGGTGTTGAATTCTCTTATTAGGCGTTGGCATTGTTTTTGGTTGGAAGTGACTTTTTAGTGTTATTTCCGTTCTCTGTTTGAATGATTTTAATTCTCCTTTGCTTCTTCGTATGCAAAGGTTTAATTACTTGTTTGGCCCGCATTAGCGAGATGTCTTCTTGTTGTTCTCACGTCTTTCAAGAGAAGAATGTTGTTGCAGATAGCTTTGCTAATATAGGTTTGTCTTCTCCTAATTTGGTTTGCATGATTCTCCTTTGTTGGTGTTCGTGCTGCTTTGTTTTTAGACTTTGCTGGCTTGCCTGACTTCTGCTTCTCAAATTAATGCATATTGCAGCTTTCAGGTGATGGATTTCTTAGCTAATTATGGAGTTGATCATCAAGGTGGTTTAGTAGCACTTTTGCTTGGCTTGATTTGGGACCGTGGTTCCAGGAATTTTTTCTTTCTTCATCCATTTTTCTTTTTTCCAGTGATGTATTATTCTTTCCTTTGCAGGTTTTGGCTTCCTCCCCCTGCTTGGATTTTATTTTTTTATTGCTATTTCTTTATTTAATAAAATTTGGAGATAGATGATAGGGGGTCATTCTATTGGGGAATTAGCCTTTCTAATTGCTCTGAGTAGGAAGGAAGTAGGCTACTTTGTAGTTAATGACCAATTCCCGGGGTCCTAGTTCTTTATGACCACCTTATGCTGGTTTAGAGAGTGAGACTACTTTGGTAGACTAATGACCAAGCCTTATGTGTAGTTTGACTCGCCTAATCTATTATCATCCTTTTCTTAAAAAGATATATAAAAGATTTATAAAAAAAATATATGAAAGAGAGAGGAGTTGGAGAGGGTGTAATAACCATGAATTTTCTTTTCTAATATTTTCTCTCAATTATTATGCATTAAAGGGTGTAATAGTATTTTTTTGGCCTTTTAATTGATAAAGAGCATTCTATTAATAGGAGGCAACATAACAATAAACTAAAAAGAAATCCTAGGTATGCTTAATGAGGATGCACACTCCAAACAATGAGTCAGCATGCATATTAGTTGTCCAAACAATGCTAATTAATTAATTAATTTGGAGGCAGGCACATGCTGGTCCAACTTAATTTGAATATTAAGCCTAATTATGAGTTAGTTAAATAGTCTAATTCTAGAATTTTGGTAAAGGTTATGTCATCTTATATAGGAAAAATTAGGCCCACCCATGTTCTTATTTTGCAACTGATCATATCAAGGGCAGTAGTGGATATTCTTTTGGTTGAAAAGCTCCAATCAAGTGTGCGTTTTGGCATGCATGCATATCTGTCAGTTTGTTCTTTACAAGTTGTTTAAGGTCCTATTTAATAGGACATATGATTAAAGTAAAGTAACTAAAATTTATCCGTTGAAAAAAAATTGTTCCTGACCTTTGAAAAGGTGGACTATAGTGGTGAAGCCACTAGCTGCATCTGTTAAAAAAAATTTATCTGTTACTCTTACATAACGATCTTAAAATATTCATGTTGTAATCTTCCTGCAGTCATGCAAGACCTTAGTAAACTCTTTTCTTAAATATTGATCCTTATTGGAGCCATAAACATGCGTATTTGTAGGTTAGTAATTTAGTGTTTAATCTAACATCTAATCTAACAAAATTTATCTTTTGACAAAAAAAAAAAAAACTAGTACTTTGGGATAAAATCTTGGAGCCATGTGATCCTTCAACACCACCGTGCCTTTATACCGATGAAAAATGATTATTTGATGTTTTTCTTCTTCTTCTTTTTACAATATATACTAGCATATATATTAAGACGTGAAAATATTGCATATTAGTCGTTAAGTGTTTAGGGTGAATACTTTTAGACACTTAGCTACAAGCCCTTAGTATGATACGTTTTGTATTTTTGGAGTAGTTAAATGTTTTAGATTTAGGTTTTATAAATATCAATAGAGAATTTGAACTCCATAACAATGCATCGTATATAATTTCAACTGCTTAGGGTGAATTTATTAAACATTTGGGCTACAAACTCTTACTATAATATATTTTGTGCGTTCAAAATAACTAGTTAAGTGTTTTAGATGTAGGATTTAAACTGATCAATGAAACCTTAAAACATAAAAACTTGCATATTTGAACTCCATAACAATTATCCTGATGGTAGAACTTAGTTTGATCTTGGTCACTAGAACGTGTGGCTTGATCATCACCGTTTGCCTTTATCATTTGGTCACTGATTACCAAAAATGAATGACCAAAAATTACAAATTTCAAATGTTGCAAAGTTAGCGTAAGCATGTATCCATTTACTAGGAAAGATCCATATAATTAAAAAGAACAAAGAGAGGAAATGAGAAATTAAGGTCCCACAATTAATCCAAGTGGGTATTGCAACCATGTGCTCTCATATGGTGGTTGGCCCTTAGCAACCCCACAAAACCCACTTTTCACCTCCTAAAACCCCAAGCTAGCTAATAGAAACTCCAAGAATAATTAATGCATTATTTGTAGTATCTTAATAGAATTTGATTCTTTATGAAGTATTTGTAGCTTAATTGATTAGGAATTTTATTTTGATGATTGAAGTCTTGAGTTCGAATTTCCTTTTGCAATATTAGTTGTATTATAAAATAATTAAAAAAAAATGATTCCTGGTTCTCCTTAATCTTTAGATCCTCCCAGTTTCAACCCCCCTCTCTAAATACAAACACAACATGCATAGACATTTGTGTCAGAACTTGATTCTCCTTTTGTCCTTGTGAGCTTTAAGAACTAGAGGATCCCTTGTGTCAGAATAAAATCTACATCTCCCATCTCTTGTTAGTCTTTTGGTCCATCCCTATAAGAGTAAAACCCTATTCCACACCATGAATCCAAAGCGCTTGTCTTTGAGGCCTAATTATACCACGTTTAAATCTAGGTTCGCAAAAGGGTTTCTTCAAGCCTTGAAGAGAATAAATACGCAAAGATCTATATCATCAACGAATGTACTACCACCTTCTCCTAGGGAGGTGTGTAGAAGGTATTTGAGTGTTAAGAATGCTGCTGATGCATCTATGGCTTCGGCTGTTGGGACTAGAAGAGCTTGGAGCCGTGCTTTGCTTACGAAGATTAATCGAAGCCACAAGGGTTCACGGATTTATAATTGTTCATCAAGAAGAACTGACAACAGTAAGAAGATGATGATGATGACAATGATGAAGAAGTGTGATGACGGTGATAAGGAGGAGGAGGAGGAGGAGGAGAAAGAGACTGGTATTGTTTGCGAGGTGAACCAGCTTCGAAAGTTCGTACCAGGTGGGGAAGCCATGGATATTTGCAGCTTGTTAGACGAGGCTGCACATTACATCAAGTGCCTCAACACTCAGGTAAAAGTGATGAGAAAGATTGCAGATATCTGCTCTGCTGCTTGATCAGCTATATATATATGTGTGTGTGTGTTTCATTAATCATGGATTGATTCTATAATATAATAAAGCGGGGTTGTTCCGTACTAGTTTTTCTGTCCTGAGATTATTATTTTTACTGTTGATATCTTTGATGTGTCTGTAGACGTTTTGATGTACGGTCTGAAGTATGTCTAATGAATATTGTTATTTTTCATGAAGGAAACTTTTCTTTATACCTGCCGGGAATATAGTCACGGAACTTACCATTCTACATAACTCATTTTTCTTTTCTAGTTTTGTCTATTTTATTAAGAAGTTGCTTGATTGCCCGGTGGCCGGTCGCTGGTGGCCATGCCGCCTAGCGAGCTAAAGGGAGGGAGCGAGGGAGGCGTGGCTTATTCCATGCACAAAACCTCCAGGTACCAGCTGCATTGTGATTGTGCAATAGTAGAAAATCTGATTAAAAATATAATATGAGGATATCTTTATGTTCGTTATATGCTGGCTCTAGCTTCTTTTGCGAAGCCAAGAACCAGCAACCAAAAGCTTGCAGATCCAGTAGTTTAAAGCGTGTGCAGGTTATCAAATTTAATTTGAGGCCACAAGAATATAGTCTATACACGCCACTGAAGACTTCACTCATTGCTATATGCTACTTGTATTCCTATGATACGCTTATTTCCAAATTTACAAAGATCATGTGCACATCATTTTGCATATCTCTAAATTGTTTCATCGATCTTCGTAACAGAGAATTGCATCCATGGTCGAGTGCCTAGCATGAACCCAGATCGATTGTCTGATACCTGTGTCTCTTGCCTCATTCTATGCTCAATTACTTTTTCCCAAAGCTTCATTATATGACTCATAACCTAGTACTCCTAGGCCCTGTTTGGTGGGCTAGATGAGATATGTTATGATCAATTAAAATAGACTTTAGTTTAGTCAGTTGTTTGTTGTGTCATATGTGAGACAAATATGATCGAACATGATGGGTTATGAGTTCACAATAGAGTGAGTTATCTAACTTATCTTTATACATGAGTTACAAGACTTGTCTTATAAGTCTCTAGTAATACAATCTTATTCTTAAGGCCCAATCTCATCCAGCCCACTAAACGGGATCGTATAGTTCATACAATTTTGTATGTCGCATTTATTCTTATAGATAGGCACCAAAGTGTTTATTCGCAATTCATTAGACATCTTCATTTTCAAAATCATATTGAAAAGGTTAGTAAGTCATGCTATACCTGTCTTTCCCATGACCTTCCACACTTCAATCGGCAAATTGTCAAGACCCACTGCTTTTCTATGCTTCATCTTTTTCAGCTTTTCTATGCTTATTCTTATACATAAGCACCATGGATATCAAATTCATGATTCATAATTAAGTAGGCAAATCGCTCAATTAATAATAGAAACATAAGCATATAAACTTTATCAAAATAAGTATATAATTAACTTACAAAATTCTACTCAATTATTAATCTCTAAATCCCTTACCTCGAGTCCATGGAAGCTAAAATCTCTTCCTTAGCTTTCCCTAGTTCTTAAGCACCGTCCAGTCTAAAGCCGAACGTCAGGGGTAAAAGAAACATGACAAACAAACCAAAATTAAGAATATTGTAACATAAAATCACTTCATTAACCCTACCAAATAGAAATTGCAGAAAATTGAACTTTGTTATAGTTTTGTGGACATAAAACGAGCAGCCTTTTGCCTAATCAAATCTCAATGAAAACTTATGAATTTAGACTTGTTTGAAGCTTGAAGAACCATCTTTCCAACGATATAAATTAAGGAAAATTAATGAAAATGATTTGGAAACTTTGAGTTTTAATGATAATGACAAAATAAAGGGTAAAGTGAATAGTACCAGGATTGACTTTTTAGTGTAAAAATGTGGTTTTCGTTAAAATGAACAGTACTGTAGGCTTTTCGTTAAAACTCCTTATAAATTATGTTAAAAACTGAGCTTTGGAATGAGAGAAATCACGAGTGAAAACAGCAAGTATGTGCAGAAAAGCTACACAGAGTTTTACATGGATTTAAAGGCACCTTTTTGAACATTCCTCGAGCACTGAAGTACTAATTAGTTAGTAATTCTTACCCTTAAGCCTTCCTCTGCAAATTTAAACCTCTTTCTTTCTTCTTCATAGTTCTCACTCAAATTTTCTCTCTGTAAAATAAACTGAAAGAACTTTGCTATGGAGGTTTCTACTCAAATTGCATCTATTTATAGGGAAATATGTCATGATTGGAACCTAGCCCTAGACCTTCCACCACCTGCTTCATAGATTGGGTTACTCAGCTATATAGATTGCTTGTTTACAGAATCTGAAATCACCATGGACTGCCACCTTCTGCTTAAGGTTTCCTTCGTTTTCTATAAATCCGCCACCTTCTCCTTAGATAGCCTTCACTAGTCAGCAATGATAGAAGATATTTACGTAAGAGATAAGAAGGAAAGGTAGATGATACGAGAAAAACAAATTTCTCATTGTTGGTTTGTAAGTTTAGAGAGAGAGAGAGAGAGAGAGAGAGAGAGAGAGTATGTGTGTGTGTGTGGCTTCTCTCTCTTTTGTTTGGGCTGATTATATTGTAATCTAATGGCCCTACACAAAGTGTTGGGCTAAGGCTAAAAATAAAATTGGGCTGAAACTATTTTTTATTTGAGATAAAATAAAAATTATAAATTAAATTCCAGATGTTTACAGTAGGATTGGTACTCTCAGTAGTCATCCAAGTTTTAGTCCAAGAAGTCAATGGGCTTGAACTTAACTAAATTCGCTAGAACTTTTTTATTTTTTTCGCACTCAAATTCAAATTCACAATCACATCACTTGAATTAATTTAATTTAAACTATTTTATGTATAAAAACAAATATGTTGGATATGAATTTTCCGGAAGGTGGTAATAAATACTAAATAGGATATTTTTGTCCGGTCCATTTAACTGGTATATTATATTATATTGTACTCGCTTTTGAGAGAGTCTAGATAGCACTCCTCTTGTTATAATTTATGTGCAAGTATAACAGAGTATCATGTGGCTTCGTATCAAGTAATGGTCAATTCAACTATAAAAACTAAATTATAGTCAACCTAAACCAGTTGATTCTGTTATAAAAAAAATAAAAAAAATAAACTTCAGTACTTGATGCTTGCAAATGTTTGTAAGTAGTTGAAGATTGTAAATAATCTTGATTGAAGAACAATATGCATATATGATATACTTAGACAAGACATTTTAACTTTCGTGCCAACTCAAACAATGTCAAACGCAATTTAAATCTTAATAATTTGTTCAAGCGTGACGTTTGGTCCTCCAATGGAAGCTGTGGTTTGAAATGATAATGTTTGAGAAACCATGTGCATTGTTGGCCTTTATTGCGGTTGCGAATGCCTGCATGCGATTGCGCTAAACTTGCAATGGTTGTCAGATCTTCAACTTCAGGTGTAGGAGGAGGAAACCGTTAGTACAATACATCCTTCAGCAATTTGTTTTCACACAATGATGGAGACGAAAGGGACGAGATTAAATCGCCTAGTCGCTTTCCCATGATCACTTCTAGTGCCAGCATTTCAGAGCTATAAACGTCACATTGCTTAGTTACCTTCATTATGTAGGCCAACTTTGCATAAAATTAAGGGAGAGCAAACCATTAGTATATGTTTAACTTTATGTTATCAAATTTAACATTATATTTTTAACTGTTTTACTTTACATGGTGCTACATATCCGTATGTGCCTGCAAGGGAGCTCCAAGTCAATGAGTCTGGATTCAAAAGCATAGCAGTGCCGAAGTCTGAAACACAAGGCTTGTAGTTGTAGTCTAGCAAAATGTTGATGCTTGATATGTCTCAGTGTATAATTGGCGGCACACAATCATGCCGCATGTAAGATAGTGTCGAAGCAACGCCTTTTACAATTCTCACCCTTAGACTCCAATCCAATTCTTTAGCTTCGTCTTCTTTAATCAAGATTGAAGCCAGACTACCCTTTTCTAGATACTCATAGACCAGAAAGGAGCTGCAAATTTGAACAAAAACCACAATGTTTCACAATGTTTCAATGTCGTATATTGATTAGTGCACTTATTTCATTGTGGAACTCCTCCTGTGATATCTCCTCGCCATCAAGTTTTTGATGGAGTTTCTTCACTACAACTATTCTGCCTGATGGTAGCTTTGCCTTGTAGACATTTCCAGATCCTCCCTTCCCAATGCAAAATATGTTGTGAAAACCATTGGTTGCCCAATACAAATTTTTTTTTCTTTTTTTTTTTTTCCATAAAAAGGAAAGATTGAAAAGACTTCATCATGGATATCATTCTTTTCTGTTTCGGACTTTTTCTTTCTTCTTGTTTTGATGAAGACAATGCAAGTAAAACTGCTCCCAATTATCTGACTAGAAACAAAAATTTCTTATTCTTACTAATCATCATATGGAATTTGAAGAAAAACCATGCACTGCATTTGCCTTCTTTGAATACTATAAATTGCCCAACGAAATGAACGTTTTGTGGAAACCGTTTTTATGTGGTCATAATGAAAAAAAAATGATAAAAGAAGAAGATAGTCACTTCAAAGAAAAATGTAATCATAACTACTATTTTTATTGAAGTGTGAATGTGGTCACAATAGTAGCAGTCTTTAGAAAATTTGGAACAAAATCATAACTTATTTTCCCAAACTATTAGTATGAAATTTGTGACCAAAACCCAACTTCAACCTACCACCAATCATTACTCCTACGTGTTACAGCAAAGGTTGTAAAAAGTTGAAAGTCAAAGTATGACTTCAATCCATCCACGCGAGATTGATAAAGATATTGCGATTTTTCAGTTTTTCAAAGTATTTTTTATTTATTATTATTATTTTTTTATTATAGTAAATTTTTGTCTTTTTATATCAAATTCAAGTTATTTTTATTAAATGAAGTTATTAGTGATATTTTGTTTTTTTTTTAAAAGTTAGAAATGTTGTAGGCCTATTTAATTGAACGAATCTAGGGTAGGGTTTAGAGAGAGAGAGGGGCCGGCTACACTTAGAGAGGAGAGATTGATTTAATTGTGATGTGTATTTGATTCATCCCATTGTGCCTTTATTTATAGTAGTAGTATAGGTAAAAACTTTTCCCCTTAGGATTACAACATTTAATATGTAATCAACTCCTAATATGAATATAAGATACATTCCCATATCTATTAGAATTTACACAATCACATTCCTATTCTAAATATGACTGCAACACTCCCCATTGAGTGTGTAAATACTTAACAAACCATCGCATCAGATTTTTAGTAGATGAGGTAGAATAGTTGATGAAGTCATTGGCACAACGAGTGATCGTGAGTCTCAAATTTAATTGAAGTATGCATTTGTAGTAAAACTCACAAAACCTCGCTATGGTAAAACCCAAGGCATGGGGAAAATCCATAGACTAAGGAGAAAAGTGAGAAGTATGCATAATGTCTTTAAACAAACGTCAAATAGGACAAAGGTAGTGAACTCAACGGAGTAGGATCATCCCAGGATGGGTGCCTCATTAAAACCTCGTTAGGTAGCAAAAACCCAGTGGGAAAAATGCTCCTAATCGTAGGAAAAAAAGTACACTAAGATTATGTGAGTATGCTTCTAGATACTCCCCCTGAGTTAGACATAACTTCTAAACAAGAGAACTACAAGTGATTCAACTTAGATAATTTACGCATACCGATTCCTTGGATAAGCTTCTGAAATGTAGACTTAGGCAATGACTTGGTGAAGAGATTAGCCAAGTTGTCCTGGGAACAGATTTGCTTGATTTTAATGTTCTGATGTTGGTGTGATTAACTATTTGCTTGATTTTAATGTTCTGATGTTGGTGTGATTAACTGCTCGATACATGCTGTATTGTCTTCAAAGATCGTCGTAGAAAGGTTAACGACTGATGTAAGACCACTAGTGATTCGGATATATTCCATAACTTCTCTCAACCAAAAGCACTCATGCGATGCTTCATGTAGGGCGAGAATCTCAGCATGGTTCGATGAAGTCGCAACTAGCGTTTGCTTGGTAGACCTCCAAGATATAGCGGTGTCTCCAACGGTAAAGACATAGCATGTTTAAGAACGTGCCCTATGTGGGTCAGACAGATATCCAGCATCTGCGTAACCAACAAAGCGAGAATCAATCCAATGACCATAGGGGGCAGCAACACTCGGAGATTTGTGGGTATAGAACAAGCCTAAATCCGTTGTACCCTTGAGGTAGCGAAAAATGTCTTTAACACCATTCTAGTGCTTGCATGTGGGCGTATTACTGTATCTTGCCAAAAGATTAACAGCGAATGAGATGTTGGGTCTAGTGCACTGAGCTAAGTACAATAAACCCCCAATTGCACTTAGTTAAGGAATTTCGTGTTCGAAAATCTTTTCCTCATCCTC